GATCTGGCTTTTTAATATTATTATCATTATTTTTTAAATTATTATCATTATTATTACCATCATTATTATAACCATTATTAATATTATCATTATTATTATATTACTAGATCTGTTTTTTAAATTATTATTATCATTATTATTATTATGATTATTGTTGTTGTTGCTGTTGTTACAATTTTCGAATGGGCTCCATTAGCTCAGCTGGGATCATGCTGAACTACAAAGTGTCCCTGATTAGGGACGTTCTCCATCATGTGATGTTTTGGGAAGTTTTAAAGAATTTGCACCCATATTTGCCGAATTCGGAGATCCCGCCTCTTAAATAACCTGAGAGTGTTGAAAGGGACATTACATCTATACACCACCACCAACAACAACAATACCAGCAACAACAACAACAACAGCAAAAATCTTCGAACACAGGATCTGCCCCCATCACTCATGAAACTGGTGAGAACATTATGCTAACGATGCACGAACTGTTGAGCACGTAGAGACGATAACAAACACTGATCGTATTGAGTATACCTGGTCATTGGTCCTTGCAGATGTTAAACACCCCTTTCAACACAGTCAGCTTATTTAAGAGGCAGGACCTCTAAATTCATTCGCCATCTCCGAAAGAACCGAGCAAAATGGGTGGGAAGCCTTTAAAAACTCCCCCCAAAACCAAGTCAATTTCAGAATACCCTGTTGGGATTTCGAATTAGAGCCATCCGCTCATTAATAGTCTAGTATGATACCAACTAAGCAAGCGGTGCTTCCTATTTAGTGTATTCCAAAGCTTTTAACGGATGAAGACAATAAGAAACATACATTTCGCCCCGCTCTCCTCCCTTTTTCTATCCGGAAAGGGGGTAATAATCAGACCGACTGCACATCATCAGGAGGTAATGCAGGTCTACCATCTGCAACAGCAGAAATGTACGCATGGACATCAGTTTTACTCTTAGTAAGAGTCTTACGGCACTCGCAACACAATAATCATATTACATCAGTGCCGAAGATTAGGGGTGTTACAAGAGAGCAACAAACACAAAAAAGTTGAAGAGATCAGAACGATAGATGTTTGATAGAAAGAAAGAGCAAACCACACCAGAGAACCCATCTATCAAACAAGAGCATCTGAGCTCGGATGTTCAAGTATCATTTTTGAATTTGTAACTCTCCTTCTACTTCTTTTCTTTCACCACTTCTATTCTTTGCTCAAACGTGTGGGAAAAGAGATCGGCCTTCGAAGAGAAAATAAAAGTGTCTAGTTGAATATATATATATATATATGAAGAAAAAGAAAACGCGGATAAAGTGGTCTGTAGAGGCTACACGGTTTCAGACACTGAAAACAGAATGCGCAGCAAAGAAAATTCATCGGTGTCTGTGGGTTAGCGGGTCGGCACTTTGTTTTCGAATGCAGGAGACCCGAGTTCGATTCTCGAGTGGGGATACATTTTTTATCGAGTTTCTCTATCTTTCTGCAGGGATATTGTACCCCGTCAGCCCAGGGTGGCCCTGAAAAGTAGAGTCGAAAGCCCGTCTCCTAAGTGATCTATATTGTGTTGATGGGAACATTAAAAACCCTAAAACAATCAAATTCTAGGATCTGATCAACTTTTTTCTTACCAAGTGCCCGGCTGTGAAAAACTGTGTTAGTCTTTGTGTCCCGATCTCATACTGCGGAGGGGAAATCGCCCATGAAGGGCGAGGTCACTCTTATTTCACTCAAGATTGACCCTCACCCTTCCATATATCTGCCACATTCTAGTTAGGGGTCAGGTATGGGGCGTGCATGAGTGTGAGGATCTGTGTGTGTATATGTGTGTGTTAATGTGTGTGTGCGAGTCTCTCTCTCTCTCTCTCTCTCTCTCTCTCTCTCTCTCTCTCTCTCTCTCACTCTCTCTCCGTG